CACCGGCACCTACAGCCGATCCAGCACTGACTGGTGGTAGTTCTTTTTCGTCCAACACATCTTCTGGTTCATCGACTCGATCTTCAGCTGATTCATCGGCTTGTTTGGTATCACCAGAGGTAGTATCTGGTTTATCCAACATGACCTCATCTGCGGGCAAGCCCCTTCCTTCGACTCTTCGCTTTTTACCCGGACCGGTGACCGACTCAGTGTCAGACGGATTGTCTGGCACTGGGTCGTCAGCAGACGAGTTATCAGACGACTTATTGTCAGACGACTTATCTTCAGACGAGTTATTACCAGACGACTTGTCGCCAGATCGGTTATCGACCTGCCCCGGCGACTTTTTCGGTTGTGATTTGAGAGCTGGGACATCTTGTAATTCAGGCTTCTTGCGTTTGGCTTCCGACATCTTGTATGTCCTGACCTCTATCAACGATACTAAGAACTATGGGTTTATGTATTAACCAGACCGACCTCGTGAAGTAGCGGGTAAGACCTGCTGGTGACTATGCTCGCAAAATTGCGGCGGCTGATACCGCATTTTCAACGCTGAATGGGAAGGGAACATACCACGGATGTATGTGGTTGAGACTGCCACAACCGCTTCTGCTAACATCGAGGTTTGGTCGATGTTTGGTAGAGGAATCCGTTCTGACCGACTTTGCTTCGCAAAAGCTATCTCCGAGCACCACACACATCACTCTTTCTTTCATGTCGATCAACACCACGTAATATAGAACGAGATTACGTGGAAGCTCTTCAACGCATTCTGGTTGCGGTGTGGACAGCAGCCTCCAGGATTTTGGTTGTATGTTTCGAGCTCTCGCTTTGGTTGAAAAATATGGTTTCGTGCATTGTGATAGGAGGTAACAGAGAGGCGCCCGTTAATGTCCGAAGATTAGTCGAGGCATTTGGGTACTGTGACATTGTAGTGATGGTTCGGGTTGCTCGAACGTCTAATAACGAGAGAGACAAGGCGGCGAGGCATTGTGTACAGCGCTTTCGTATTGTACTTATGCTACTTATGTGCGCCGATTACACCTGAACTTGATGTGTATTTATTAGATGCCTCAGGCATTAATTGTGTAGTTGCGCCTTGCTAAGGCCGCACCAGGGCCATAGTGCGCCACATGCATTTGCCAACCTCATGGCAGTATTCGTGCATTCTATTCAGTTTGTCCACTACTCGTATCGAGGAGTGGGAAACTAGTACTACAGCTAGTGAACACAAGTTCTCTAGAAGTGGTCTGCCTTAAGTTGGAAATATTGTCTTAGGAGGCGATCACGCTTCACCAACAGTTCCTGCAGCTGGTCTGCGACCGTAGACAACGACGCTAGCTTCTGGTTAGCGATTTGCAGGTATTGAGAAGCTGCACGAACATTGGTAGGTATGCGTGTATTTTGTGATCGCAAAGATCTTTCCGCACTCCAGCCAGCAAAACCTGGTACTCGTCCTCTCTCATGTTCAACTCTTGCCTGAGCAGCTTCAGCGACATTCCGCTCAAGCCGATCAACATACTCCGTTTGAGGCGCTTTCCAATCCAGTGGAAGGCCGAGTCTTTCGGCCAAGTATTTACTGGTAATTTCCTAATGTGTAGAGACACATCTTGAAACCCAGCACTTTTCATTGCTGACTCGTAGCGAAGCGCGATAGCTAGATCCGTCCCTCGCTGCCTAGCAGCGGACTGCATCAAAGAGTTCCAATCCTCTAGCGAGGATCCAGTCCAACTGCCATCGTCACAGGCGAATGGAAGTGTATCCTGCATCTCGATAAATCCATCTGGATTAAGTCCGTGAAAACAGTTCCGAACCAGATCATCCACGTCTCTTATCGAGCCTGCGAGCATCCTGCTATGGATGAAATCATACTTCTGCCGAGGCCAGCGATCGTCAAAATCACTGATAACGATGTCCAGGTTTGGTGTTCCCCAAATGAATCGTGGCGGGCTCAAGTCGATGCCGGTAACCAGAGCGTTCGGATATTGCTGAGCAAAATTGATGGCCCAGTCTCCTGTGCCAAATCCAATATCAAGTACAGCTAACAGCTGGGAGTTGATAAACGGTGCAAGAGCGTGAGACCCCTGTAATGCTGCGAGCCAAACGTCGTGCAGGATCTTGAGGCGAGCCCACTCATCCTCGTCGTCAGGGAAGGGATATTTTTCGGCGTGAAATGCATGATACCTGCGACCCTGAAAGTCTTCGCCTATCCAGATCGAAGGGGGTATCGTGCTTGCTGTGCTATCATCCGATGAATAACCCTCATCCTCGAAGAGGCTCCTCGATTCATCTGTCATACTTGACGACATGGCCGGCTGGTCAGAAAAGAGGCATGAGTTGGAAGAGGCTGCAGCTGGGTTGCTGCAGGTTGGTTCAAGCAGCCAATCCGGAAATAGATCCTCTCTGGGATCAGTCTACTGGTCCAAGCCGCCGAGGAACACAACATCAATAAGTCATGTCCACTAACCATGCAGGTGGTGGCTCGATCTGCCAATCATGCCAGCGGTGGCACTTGGAAATTAAGACAAGAATCAGGGTCCACAGGGCCTCGTAACATTGTCGTTTGGACATCTGCCTAAGTGGGCAGTGGTAGTCGACCAGGGGCAGAAGCTGTTGTCTTGATCTAGTGGGAGTTCTGTGCACAAGCGCCTCGATCTTTAGGCAATGTGGCACTCGGAAGGCAAGAAACAATTTCCGTAATTGCTTTGAGCTTGAAACTTTTCTCTACAAGAATGCTCGTGTCCTCGAACCCTTCGAGTCGACCAGGCCAGATACCTGATCACTCGGCATGGATGATAACGACCATCGTATCAACACGATCGTGCCTCTCGAACGCAGTTCTCGCTGTCTCAGTCTCTCCCATCACGACACCGAAGATGAATCTCGCTGCGCCACCCCACCCAACTCGATCCGCAGTACCACAGACATTCAAAGTGAAACTAGTGATCAAGACAACCCAGAAAGATCTCGTCTGGAAACACTTGCCCATTGTCATCCAACTACCCGCGAGACCGAGACAATGCGCTGCTTAGCTGTTGGAACTAGTACACAACAAGCAACTCTCGAGAACCCTGTCCCTGAGACACTAGAGAGGATCAGCGGACTTGAAAGAAAGGTAGCCGTTTTGATGGATTACATCGACTATCTGGACAATCTTAGAAAAGGGCAGGAGGAATTGTTGACACAGACGTGGAATCAGTTACAGGGACAGGAGGACTTCTTGACACAGATGCGGAATCAGTTACAAGGACTGAAATTGTGTATTATCAACTCAGCTCAGCAGACGTATTCCAGCTGGTGTGAGCACATATGCTCTACAGGATAATGGTCCCTTGGTACAGAGATCAGACGGTCTACTACAATGTATATAAATACTAGAACGCGTGTACAATAATCTTCCTCATCGCTCATCGCGCACTCTGGTACAGCTTCAGGATGCCTTCGAGGATTTGGTGACTTCATGCCTCGTCACTCGAAGCCAAGGTCAGCCAATCTACCAGATACAACGCGATACGTCGATCTTGGCATTCTCCCAACAAGTGGAAGCAATCAAGGTCTGAGAGCTGATCAAACTGATCGAACTGCCGTGCAGAAGACCCACTGCGACATAGTTCGGACTCCGCATCTGCAGGAATTATCACACTGCGTATGCAGTGCTGACATTAGGCATCCTTGACCACTCTAGTATGTCAAGCCAGTCATGTGGAGCATCCGGAACCGCCCACCTGAGCGACGCGGACATGTTTGTGGCCGCCAAGGGCTGGCGCGAGAGGAGTGTGACGGCTGAGCGGCAGCAGTGCACGGATGCATCATGCCTGCATTCTTAGGTAGGTACGACTTGGTCATGTAATATATCGTCCTCCAGAGCTCATACTTACCTACCACAACCCTCATCAACAGCCGCATAACACCCTACCAGTAACTACTCGCGATATCTTCTCCCTTGTCCTTCGCTCGCCTTCTACCGAATTTGGTTGCGAGGATGATATCAAGCTCTACCCTAGATACTCCTCCTCGTTGCATAATCCAAATCGATGGACAAGACTTGATCGTCTCAGCCAAGATCCACGACATTCGATCACCAGATGCACTAGACGATCCAGTTGAGCAGATTCTCCGTGCGAGTCGCGACACTCGAACTGCAAGAATACTCATACATCCGGGACCACGCAGGGGAGGATTCCCACATCTTTGGCATGACGCAGACCTCTTCTATCTCTTGACGGCTGTGGCCCTAGCTCGACTAGATCACCTTCTGATTGGATTCACAGATGAGCAACACCTCGACGAATGGCGGATCCTGTGGCCAGCTGTAGGTCCTTATCGGCTAGTAGCACTCAGTCTCGCTTGCCTCACTGCGAAAAAGGTCACGCTTCTGGACGAACACACTAGCACAAGGGCTTTAGGTCGCAAACTGTATAGACGGATTCTGAATACAAATAAGAGCAGGAGCCTTCTTCAGTATTCGAGTGCGAAGTTGGTGTGCCCCTGCGACAGAGGAAAGCTCAAGACATACCAAACACTTCTGGATCAAATTGTCTCGTAGAATGATTCGGTGAACGCAGCAGCGGCTGCAATGAAGGTGGATCCCGTTGTATTGGCGCGAGGCTTGCAACAAGGAGTGGATGATGGATGGAGCCAGGCAACCCATAGCGAAACGATGATCTTA